AACATGTAGTCATGATGAGTTTCTGGCTCCAGCTTTGTCACAGAAAGGCTTGCCTTCTCGTCTAGAACTTCCAGAGAAAGGCTTCGCCTTCTCGTAATGGAAGCTCCACCGCACTCACACGTGCTGCGCCGCATGTCGGAACATATCGAGGAGGACGACTTGGAGACGCAAAGCATGATGGAAGACCCGGAGCCTGAGCAGTTGGAAAATCAGGTGTACTGGCTCCAGCTGCGGATCCAAACACTGGAAGCCACGATCAAGAAGGAGCGCGAGGAGAAGAAAGAACTTCAAAAGCTTGTGGACGGGCTTAAGTGCACGGTGCGTGCATTGTATGAAGCAGTGCAGGATGTGACAAAGATGAGTGATGATTTTGGTGCCATCCTGAAGCGGTGGGACCGGCAAGAGCCATGAGCCGTGAGCTGGACAGGGAAGCCTTGGACACTGTAGCCTCTGTCGACAGGCATGTGCTTATGCTGAAAAAATGCAAAGCGCAACCGGTTGCACTATGTATTTTGCTACGAAATCAATAGCTTAGAGACACATTGACTTTTCCCAGGTACTACTACTACTACGCATAAACTATAACTTCGTGCTGCTTGTCAGGAAGCCACAGCATGGTGTGATGCAACCGTTGGCTCAAAGTCAGGTTTTGCTCTCGCTGCATGAGGGCATCGCCTCATCAGCCGTGGATCGGTGCTCCATCCAGTCTGGGAAACAAACAAGCTTACCTGTTTCTGTGCATGGAAGAACTCGATGCACAACCTGCTGCACTTTGGGTTCTGGGCATCAGTCGGAGTTGGATTCTAATCTGTAGCTCAGCATGCCTAGCTAAAGCATTGTTGCAGGCTTTGGCCTACCATCTCTCCTTCGGGGTTTCCGATTTGGCCATCACAAAAAGAGGCATCGTACCAACGCAATCCCAAAGCCAATGCAGCTGTAGAAAATCTTTGCTGCCATGGCTGGCTGGAAATGCAAAAGCTGCCCTCGACTAACTTATCGCCGACCCCCAGCTAATGTCTGCAAGAAATGCGATCCGGGCAACAGAATCGGCAAGCACAACCGGAAGGTGCCTCATTTCAGGCTCCGGAAGAAGACTTCTGTGCAGATGACCCATCTCTTCCGGTGGCAAGCAATGCCAGTACAGTCTTCTGCTGCTGCTGCTGATTATCAGTTTTTTTTCCAGGCTTTGGCGGGGGAGCTCGATGTTTTGAAGGCTATGGCTGCAAGGACAGGGCTCAAGATGTCCGTGGTTCACGGTGTTCTGGCTGTGGCTTATGCTTGGCTGGAGAAGATCGAGGGATGCAGGGTTCCACTCCCATCCTCAATGAGAATATGTGGCTTGATTTCTTTCGCCATTGCCAATGAAGCACAGTGCGATCCGGATGTCGTGAGACCAGCCTATCGCAAACACAAGAGCATTGCTGTGAAAGAGATGAGGAGCTGCGAAAGCCGTTGGGTAAATGTCATTGGTAACCTATAGATGCCCAATGAAGTCTTCAGATCCCGCACTGCAGGACCAAGGGCAGGAGGACCAAGGGCCGGAAGAGCCCGCAAGCCCAGCAGCTGCTCTGCAGGACCAAGGCCTGCAGCACCAAGGACCGCAAGAGCTTTTCCTCAACGAGCTGGACTGAGCAGGCTACGGGTTTGCAAGGCTCTGCCTGCAGTAGTTTGGCATGCTGCAAGGCTTCGCCTGCAGCATGCCCGGAATAGGAGTCTGCGTAGAGCCAGATCCCAGAAATCGGACCCTTAATGGGTTCCAGTTAATGCAAGACAAAGTACAAAGTCTTGCATACAAATCGCGGCAACACTGCAGAAACTAGTTTCGCAGTTGATTGTTGAAGCCTTGGACACTGTAGCCTCTGTAGACAGGCATGTGCTTATGCTGAAAAAATGCAAAGCGCAACCGGTTGCACTATGTATTTTGCTACGAAATCAATAGCTTAGAGACACATTGACTTTTCCCAGCTAATTTGTTGCTTCTGCTGCTACTACTGCTACTTCTACTTCTAGTACTATACTATTACTGCTAGTACTACTGCCTCTGTAGACAGGCATGTGGTTATGCTGAAAAAATGCAAAACGCAACCGGTTGCACTATGTATTTTGCTACGAAATCAATAGCTTAGAGACACATTGACTTTTCCCAGGTACTACTACTACTACTACTACTACTACTACTACGCATAAACTATAACTTCGTGCTGCTTGTCAGGAAGCCACAGCATGGTGTGATGCAACCGTTGGCTCAAAGTCAGGTTTTGCTCTCGCTGCATGAAGGCATCGCCTCATCAGCCGTGGATCGGTGCTCCATCCATGGCCGAAAAGCATGTGCGAGACATGCTGGACTTTGTGGCGATGCTCCGGAAATCGCCTGGCATGGACGAGGGCCGTGCAGAGAAGATGGAAAAGAAACTGCTGCAGCAGCTGGAGGAGCTGCCTGGAGCAGTGAGCTTTCAAGAAGCCACACGTGCCATGGAGAAGGTGTCCGCGGCAGATGTGCCGGATGGCTTTCAGCAGGACATCGTGCGATGTTTGGAGGAAAAAATCGAGGCGACGGGTTCCGCCGAGAGTTCCGCCACCACGCGGGAGCTCAAGGGCAACCAAAAGATGCAACAGCATCGTTTTTTCTACAACTTCCTGCTGCAAGCGGAGTGGGATGCCATCATGAACCCGAGAGCCTCCGCGAGGAGCAAGCAAAGGGTGGTGGCCAGCAGGCTACAGCTCCTGGGCTTGGTGTATCCGAGGGAGGCAATCTTCAAGCAGGCCACTGCCATCTTGCTGCTTGGCAGCCACGATGGTGCTCCGGAGCATCTGAATGTGAATTTTGTTACGGCCTTAGACCTGCTGCAGGAGCTGAAGGACCTGTGCAGGTCTTCGTTCGACAAGTCCAAGTTCAGTGGGCTCAAGGACTACCCGGAGAGTGCGAGAGATCTCCCGAGTGATCTCTTCAGGGCGGCCTACGGGGAACAAGCGCCGGCAGCTTGTCCCATGGACTTGCCGGCCTTGCACGGGCTTACCAAAGCCCTTGCTGCGAGGAGCACGCACAACAGTGTGCAGCAAAAGGGCTTTGGGCAGCAGCTCGGCAAAAAGGACAGGTGCCTTCAGGAGAACATGCACGGTGCCCTGTTAGGGCACCTTGGCAACCTCTTGATGAATGCCATGGAAGGGAACGGCGTCCCTGGCCTGCGAAATTTCGCTATGACGAAGAAGCGGAAGATGTTGGAGGACGGAGAAGCCTCCGTGCCGCTTGAGCTCCAGCTCCCAAGCAAGCAGCTGGCTTTGAAAGACAAGGACAAGGTGGCGGAGAAGGACGAGGAACAGCAAGCAGAGGACTTGGAGGAGGACGAAGAGGCTTCGCCCTTGAAAACGCCTGCCGAGCCTAAGGCCCGGCGCAGTGTCGACGAGATGGTCTCCAAACTCCAGGACCAGCTCGCGGCCAACAAGGGAAATCCAAGCAGCACACCTGCCAAAGCAAAGGCTGAAAAGGAGTCCGAGACGACTCCTTCGCCCAAGCCGTCGAAGCCGGCGAAGGGCACACCTGCCAAAACAAAGCCTGCCGGAGGAAAGGGCGCCGGCCAGGCAGCTGCAGCTGCAGCCCATGGGAAAGGCAAAGGCAAGGGCAAGGGGAAGAAGGTGCTGACAGCTTTGCCCAAGTACCCGGGCACGGCAAAGAAGCCGCCGGTGTGGTTGCAGACCTGCAAGATCTACACGGATACGACCACGAATGCGTGGAGGGTCCAGATCTGGGGCGACAAGAAGGACAAATCGTTCAAGTTTTCGGACAACCCAAAAGCTTCTTGGCAGCGGCTCAGCGCCTACGTGAGCGAGCTCTAGATGTCAGTGGCCTCGCCCTGCATCTTGCATGTAGGTCTACCGGCGGCCTCGCCCTCTGCGTGCGCTTCCGCATTTGGCAGTGGCTTCGCCCGGCAGTCTTTAAAGAGCATGTGCGACGGGGAACCGCACGCAGAAGAAAAAAGATTGTAGAACGGAGTTGGTTTAACCCCCAGCCCTAAATGCATGTTCAACCCTGTACATAATCTGTTACAGGCTTTCCCTGCGTGGCCGTTTGTCATACAATATAATTTGAATGCTGGCAGATTTTGGCATTCTGAACACTGTTTTTTTCACCTCTACATGATTTTTTTGACCGCCGCAGTACCTCAAAATGCTTTGCTCGTGATGAATTTTTGCACCCCTCATGATCGCAAAATGGTGCTCGCGAAACGCATTTTCTGACCACCTATATACCTCAAAATGGTTTTCTCGTGACGAGTTTTTGCGACCCTCATGATCCCAAAATGGTGCTCACCAAACCCATTTTCTGACCGCCTATATACCTCAAAATGATCTTCTCGTGACGAGTTTTTGCGCCCCTCATGATCGCAAAATGGTGCTCGCTAAACCCCGAAATGTGTGCTCGCTAAATCCCCAATTTCGGAGTTATAAGTCACTTATAAGTCCGACTTATAAGTCCACCAAAACTCCACTTATAAGTCCGAGATAACTCGACTTAACAAGTCCAGTATATCTCGAGTTATAACTGACCAAAGCAAAAACCCGCCAAAGAAAGGTACCTCGGACACTTACTCGTGAATTGACGTGAACTTGCATGAAAGTTGCGATATCCTCGCCCCGTAACCCCGAAATGTGCATTGCAAGCAGCCGGTGTGTTGTTTAACCGACACGTCTTCGAGTCGGCTTTGACAATGGATGAGGTGTAAGTTTGGGGCCTTCGATGCCAGCATGGCCAGCATGGATTTGGAGGACGAGGTGCTTCCTCGGTATTGACGCGGTTTTGCTTGATGCTGTAAACTGTGCCGTCCCATGCTGGTGGAGACACATCCTTAATCCAAGCTTTGCGTGGCTGCAGGAGGATTGATACCTGGACGACATCTTGTACATTGTAGCAGGCTTGAGAAGCAAGGAGGCAAAGCTCTTGTCGGAGGCTCAATACTTGTGCCTTCCTCCTGGCCGTTAATGAGCCGGGCCAGCCCGGTGGGATGGCACCTCAGTGGTCCATCGTGCGTGCATACGTCAGTAGCTATCCCGTCGTGCGACGACCACGGATGGAACTTCGCGGACATCTCGCAGTGCCCGTGCAAATCACCTGCTGATGCGTATTCAACGAAGATGCTTTCTGCAGCTCCGATTGCGGCAGTCATGGCAGGTGGCGATTCTCAGCCTCGGCTCGCCATGTCTGTTTTCCTTCTACCCGAAGACGGGCACCGAGGAGTTCGGCAAAGTCAAGAGGGCAGATGCGAGCTCGTTTTTTCAAGATTCTCTCACGCGGCCCGGCACGCCAGGACTGCATGAAGTGGGATCCTGCCAACGACGTACCTGGTGGCTACCAGGCACAGGAAGTGCAGCGAACAGTCTTGTTTGGATCGCCCCGATTCCTTAAGGGCGGTCAGTCAGCCATGAACACTCTCTTCGTCGAGCCGAGGCCTGCAGTGGCGCAGTGAAAGCGCTGGATGTGTTTAACGTTCTGTAATGTTGGATGATTAGTGCTGGTGATGTGCCACTGGAATGGGAATTCCTGCTTTGAGGCTTCTCACTGTAGCATCTTGCTCTGGTACTTGACGTGTGCCGGGGCAAAGCCGTCGGCAATGCGCGGTAACTGTAGCGGAATGCTCACACATCACGTTGGAGGAGCTTGCTGATCTTCAGTGCCCGACTCAGTGCCCACTGCAATCTGAAAAGGCAACAGCAGAACCCTGCAAAAAGCCTTGAGAGGTCATGACGCCTTCTGGCACCATCGACATGGCATCGACGCAGCGGCCGTCTTCCTACAGAGTCTGCAACGGAACACCTTGTATCATTGTGGCATCCTGCGGCATGCTGCAAGCCTGTACTGGTTCATCCATGCTGATCGTTGTCAGGCATCCGAAGACATCCCGTCAAATTTGGTGAATTTGGAGCAGGCCAGGGGCAGACCATGCAAGGGACCTTGGCGGATGTGGTTGGGAACTTGGGGAGTTCGGCTCAGGCCGCTGCTTGGGGCTACAAGCCTGGGGACCGGCTAGAGCGAGCTCGCCGCGTGTCCTTTACCATGAGGTGCAGTGGCTCAGCCAGTGTAGTTAACATGTGTCTGTGTCCATGGTCCATGGGTCTTTCTGCAACGCTGCCGCACCAGCAGACGTCTCTGGAGGCATTTGCTTCCTCGCTGTGCTTGCCAGGGCTGAGCTTGGCAGGACTTGCAACACTTCGTACATTGCAAGGAGATGCAAAAGAAAGTCAGACACGACTATCCCGACCTTAGGCCAACACCCAAGAACATGTCATCGGCTGACATGTAGCAACAAAACCCAGTATGCCGAAGCAGCTGTCCATCCGGATCTGCGAGCTGCATGTTCGGATGCATCGAGTTACTCAGATTCGGAAGCACGCTGCAGTCATCCAGCCACGTAGATGTATATTGTGAGCGGAGACGTGCACTCCGGATCTTTGCAAGCACACCGCGCGTCTAAGATGGCATGCCGGTGGTCACGAACTTTTTGCTCAGTTTTGTGTGCAGTTTCTGACCAGGTTCCCATGCAGCTTGGATTGTCAGCGGCAGTTGGAAAATCTTGGTTTGTCCGCCCTCGTGTTGTGACTGACACGGAAGGTCGTTCATGGTGCATGAGGTGAGAGGTGGACCATGCAAGCCGCCACGCAGGGCTCAACGTGACATCAGGACATGTGTGATCCAAATCTGCATTCGCATTTTGGAAGCAGTAGAGCCCCTAGGCCGCGTGCTTGTGGAGCCCGAGCCCTCACGGATGGTGCTCCTGACCTTGGCTGCCCTGGCCGCCGGTGCCGCTGGTGCCGGTGTGACATGGAGCAGGTGGTGCTCGGACTTGTTGGATTTGTGCAGGCAGGGTCTTATGAGTCTTATGGAGCCTTCGTCAGGTGTGGCAAGAAATCGCTTGGACGGCAGATGAAAGGCTTTGCTGAATCCTTGATTAGCAAAGCCCTGGCCGGGAGTTCGTGCCTTGTCCAAGAATCGGCAATGGGCGTGTTCGTGCTACGGCTAGCATGTCGCATGTGCTCAGGTGCAAGCTGGGCGGTATTGACTTCAAGCTTACCGGCTGTGAGATGCAGATCGGAGTGTCAGGTGGTTGTCTCACGGCATAGCATTGATGCAGAGGGATTGCTAGGTGCATGGAGACAGGTGTGGAAGTCGGAAATTTGCCTCCCTACAAGAGCGAGTCGCTGCTGAAGATAGCTTCCGTGTACGTGGCTGCCGGATGCTCAGTTTGGGCTGCATGCAGTGCCTCGGCAGGTGCACAACAGTCCCAACGCTGGTTCTAAAGGGTCTGACTCACGCCTTGCTTTCACCGAGCGCTGGCGCTCAAAACGGATAGAAATGCAAGCGAATCCTTTGCTTGCAATCTGGGCTTTTCAGGTCTTAGTGACCAGCAAGTAGGAAAAGTGATGATTTGTTCATTTAGTGCGACTCTGAGCTGAATTATCTCCGAATGGGCACCTCAGGTCAATCTGCAGAGTCTGCTGAGATCAGGCTGGTGGGGATGGTGGGGCTGGAGGGGGATGAGTAGAGGGTTCTCGGCAGCGACATGAACCTGAGGATTCAAGCAGGTCATCATAGAGGAGCTTCTTGTGGATGGCCTTCAGCTCACCGTAGAGAAGATACATCTCACCACCAACAACGTGAAGGAGTTGCTTCACAAAATCACAGAGCAAAAGTCTGACCAGGCAGGTGAGATACAGCAGCCGACAAACCAAACGACGACGGGCGTCTTGCCACAAGGAATGCCCACACTCAACACAGTGGCTGGCGGCGTCAGCAATGCCGCAGATGGCATGGTGAAGCTTGGCCAGGCAACTGTAACGCGTGTTGCAGCCATTGGACAGCCTGCCAAGAGACACGAGCCGAAGGATGCAAAGGTTTGCTTGAAAAAGGTAGAGGTCCGGAGCATTGTCGTGCACTCGGTGAACGCAATGATGTCCGACAACAAGACGGCGAGCCTGTCCTTGAAGGCTCCACCCATCCGCTTCCTCAACTTCTCCGAGTCCCACGGCATCCAGAATGCCGCCGACATGATCCAGCTTTTGCTGAAAGAGATCTTAGGCTCTGCTAGCCGAGCCGCGGCCTTGGACAGAGTCAAGTCTTGCGGTGCTACGAAGGTTGCAGATGTACAGATGGTCCTTGCTGCTATGACGACTAGCCGATGTCGCAACCGGCAGCATGTTTCGGTCGTGCCACTGTTGCTGCTGCGGCTGCTACCGATGCTGCTGCTACTGCCCTGGGCCACTGCAATATATAGACCTAAAGTTTCGCACGCCCAACGAAGGTCATGCAAAGGTCGCTGTCGCGCTTGCCGTTGTTGGCAGCTGAGGTTGTTTCAGATCTGGCCAAAGACAGCGCAAGCTCTGCAGGATCGTACCTCGGTGGAGCCGCGAGCACTATTTCCGAGGCAGCCACTTCGGTAGGTGGCGCACTGGGTGGAGTGGTGCTGTCTTCCGCTGATTCCGTATGTGTATTCTGGAATTGGCTATCTCAGCCAGCGCTCCCTTCCAAATAGACGGGCTCAAAAGAGTCTGTTGCATTCTGCTGCTGGACTGTGCAATACCTGTACAGAGAACTGGACTCTGAATGCTGATTGTTTCTGAGCCGTAGTATGTGCATCCGGCACAGAACTGACCGTCCGGCTTCTATACGAAAATGTAATATAAACACACGGACCCGAACAACAGCAGACCTATAATATGATTTCGGATAAGCCTACACGATGAAAATTTGCTATTTAGGAAAATATTGATATAATTCAAGATATACTATTATGGGTTATTATGCTATCCTTTATATTGGCATCTACGATATCTACACTCTTGCGACTTCTGCACGGTCGTTTTGGATGCAATCGTTTAGGCACTTTCTCCCGGTAGTCAACTTATGGTTCTTCGGAGTATGCCCACATGTATATTTTAGCTTCATGGATGGAGGGGGGATGCCATGAGTGTTTAAAGAAATTTCTTGAGCTATATTTAAATAGAAATATCACTAAACAAATCTTTGTGCGTGCCGAATAAGCGGCGACAACAATCGTGATTTTATTGAAAATATTAATAATTCTTTCAAATAAATTTTAAATAAATAATATTTTCATTCGTTATTGATTATTTGCAGATTATTTGGGGTCATATATCGTCATCTGAAAATTGATTTATTGGTAGAAATTTAAACTAATTTTTTCTTGATTGAAATATTAAAAAAATATGCTTGCAAATAGAGATATATTCGGTAATATAATTTGAATTATTCAAGTTATAGAAGAAAAATATATATATATTTAGATAGATTATATTTTCTATGATATTATTATATATAAAGAAGGAAACTAATGGACCGGATAGTTTTAGATGGGTAAATCTATGGATATTGATTCACGAATTGATGATTTCTCTAGAGTCTTCTAGAGAGGAGTGCTTAAAGGCACGAGCCAAGCTAATTTTATGCTTGTTGTATGGCAGAATGTGCGAACTATATATGAATCGGCTCTATTTCATCAAGATACCTCGCCTTGGCCTTTTCATCAGTTCGTTGACGTAGATGCCCTGAAGTGCAATCCAGAGGGCTGCGTAGTGCTGCAGGCGCCGTCGTGGCCTGTGATCCGGGGGCATAATTCCGCGGATCATCCCGTAACTTATGAGGTAAGAAGCTTGGACTTGGTCGCCAGATATGTGCGCACGACCTAGGATATTGCTCTTTCCGCTCCTACGCATCAAGCCGTGCAGCACTCTTGCAAGGATGATGACACAACCAGATGAGGTTTCCAATTCGGAGGCAGCTGCAGATTACCGTATTCCGCTTGTGTTGCCAGGTTGGCTTTCCCCCCAAATATATTTGGTCTCTTGCTACATACGCATATATAGACATACATGTAAAAGATAATTTGGGCTCTTGCTGCGCACACATACACATACGTAATACATGTAAAAGATAATTTGGACTCTTGCTGCGCACACATACACATACGTAATACATGTAAAAGATAATTTGGACTCTTGCTGCGCACGCATACACATACGTAAACGGTAGGACTCATGCTGCACACGCATATGCACATATACAAGGTCCTTTAGACTCCTGCTGCACACGCATACATACACATACAGGGTAGTTTAGGCTCTTGATGCACACGCATAGACACCCACACACATATACATACACATAAAGGATATTTACCTGCGTTCCTGGCGAGCATGCAGCTGCATGAGAGCACCACGACTGCTGCTTCAGGTTGAAAAGCTTGCAAAAGAAGGTGCCCTACTCTTCTTGGGCTTCAAAGACGCGCTTTATAGTGTCGTGTAGTTGCCAAATCTTGAGGCGTTGTTATTCATGCAAAAAATATATAGATGATATGCTTGAGCACACAATCTTCGTGCAGCCTCTTTGATCATGGGCTCGTGTGATCTCTGAGCATCCGCCTATGAATATATATGTTTTTATTCATGTCGTAATTCCCGGCAGATTAATTGGAAGATACGGTTTCATCAGTAGCTTGAGGTTGGAGTCTAAATCGGGCTTGGTTCCTTCGTATCGCAATATCCAGCAGATTCATTTAGATTTAGAGATTACGACTTCATCCAATAGATTGATCGTAAGGTTTCGGTCTGGGTCGGATTTGACCCGATTCCAGCGCTACCTTTGCCCGTACTGTTGAGCTACGAAGCATGGCTCCGCGGGCACCTCGAGGTTGCAAGCGCCCTGCTGCGGCAGCAGCTGCAGTTGCAGATGATGTCGAAAATGGTGCTTACCGCACATCCTTCCAAAAATTTCGTGATGTACTCAGGCGACGCTACCTTCAGGTGAGCGTGCTCTATAGTTTCCTGCCAGCTCAGGAGCTGTCCGTGCCGTTATTGCAGCTTCTGCGAAATGGAGAAATTGATACGGTCCGCGCTTTCTTCGTCACCAGCGCTCAGGCAGTGAAGGAGTTGCGGCAATTTTTGGCGCACTACATATATATCCGTGAACTCATTCGACTAGGTGACGATGCTGGCCTAGACAAGTTCGGCGCTGCAGTTGGCCGTCCCACTTATGCACGAATTTTCGGCTATGATCAAATGCTGGCAATTATCGGCGAACACGGCTGCTGAATATAGACACTTGTCATGATCGCCATAGCCACCGGATACGATATTGTGCGTGGGCATTCGCAATTCTTATCTGCGACGGCATGGTCCACCCAAATGCAACCTTGCTCACACTTTGCGCTGGCTTCGGTATACTCACAGGCGGCTTGCAGAGTTGCATAGATCTGCGTGCGGCCACAACGGCACTTCATGTACCCGCATGGCTCGAACAATTATCCTCGATTTTCAGGGAAGCTTTCGTCTTCGGGGCTACGAACGGGCGGCCACGATTTGCAGCACCTGCCGCAAAGTGGCATGCAGCAAATCTTTGGCCATATATGTAAACCTTATTCCCTAAATATTGTACGCCTCGTCCTAAACGCACAACTTGTTCTGCATGTATATCCACTCTATTCCCTAAACACTGAACTCTTCATCCTAGACGTGCATTTTGCTCTTTCTTTTGATGCCGCCAGGACTTAGAGGACTGCGGGGGTGAAGCGGTGCAGATCCTGCTTCCGGATGGAGCAGATCCCGGCGATGCCTCCGCGGAAGGCTTCTTGCAGCCACTGTCCAACTCCCTTCGAGATCATATTCGGGATGTCGGCCTCAATTTCTTGCAACAAGCGCACGCAAAGCATCGAAGCTGGGTAGATACATGCCATGCTGGATTCCCTGTATCTTTGCTGGGCGCCCAGCAGGCGTGTCAGGTTTGGACAGCATTCGTGGATAATGCTTTGCCCAAATGGTAGCATGGTTGCATACACGCTGGCAGCACTGGCTTCGGTTCGGGAGGGTTGATGCAACGCGTCCTGCGCGATCGTGTGCGGGATTTCAGCAGTTCCTTTTTCGATTCCAACCTCTTCGCCAAAGAGTTTGACATGCTACCCCACGTATCTCGCGTAGGCCGGCTTCGGGTGATGCTCCTAATCTCGGGCACTGGAGACTTTCCGGCTAATCTTGCTAAATCAGACTGTTGCTCTTGAGGAAAGTACCCCTGCTCCATCCGCCCACTGCTCCTCTGGCAGGCGGAACATCGCGAGGGTTGTCTCTGCTCGCCGGTCGATCTATGTTGCTCGGCAGTGACGAATTGCCTTGCACACAGAATCTGATGGAGGTTCACCATCAGCTCCATGCATTACGCTCGGATTTGGTACACCTACGGCAGAAGCACGAGTGGCTACCGGAAGTCCATTTACAGTAAAGCACTGGCATTTCACGAATGCGGTGTGTTGCTGGTGGAAAGTTGTGGACGGGTGTCTCGGTCTCCGGCACGCCCCTTATTAGAGGGCTGCCGCAGCACCGTCCGTGATAAAATTGGCCTGCGCGCTGCTGTTTCGCTGTTTCTGCACTCTGCCATGCTACCGCTTCAACTGCCCTAAGCCAAAACACCCTCAACCCTAAATATCCGATATTGCCTCCTCCAGGTGCAACACAGCGCCGTGGGCTGGGATGCGGTGCAATGCCGTGACCTCGGCTTCATGACTTGCTGCAGCTCCACGGGCAATGCTTTCATAATTATCTCTTCTATAGCCTTGCCCAAAGCGTGTTTGCAATCCAAGTTCCTCATTCCCGCTAGACGCGTATCGGGAAGGTCGTAAGCCACACAGCTCCCGGTAATAAAATTCTGGGAATTTATTACCCCGAAGCCGTCTTTCCCGGTACTAAAATTCCACAGATTTTAGTACCGCGAGGACCCTGCTCCCGGTTCTAAAATTTCGAGAATTATATGACCCCCAGACTGCCTCTACCAAGCCTTTTTATGCTAAGGCAAATCGCATTAATTGCTTCCGAGGCACATGCTGCTCACGCCTTCTGGGGTGCTGCTCGTTTAGCTTCCAGCTTCGCTGCAACTCCTTCCTGTTGATTCCATGCCTATGGCTTCACTGATTGTCACGATTTCTGCTTCTAGCCGCAGCAAGTGCTCAAAGAAAGCGATTAAACAATTAGTTGCGCCGCCGTACTATGCCGCCAAGATTCAACCCCGCCCAGGCAGCAAGTCCAAAGAAGCGAGTCATCGGAAAAACAGACGCCAAACGCCTCGTTGTGCCTAAAGCCTCCGAGTTACAGTCGGCGTTTGCAGCAGGGTCTGCGAAAAGCTCTTCCTCTCGGCTGCCAGGCCAAGCACCCATCGAGCTTTGTCTTCGCCAGTATACCGCCGTCGCTAGCGACTCTATCGACACAATGCCGGCCGATCCAATGTTTCAGTTGCAGCTACGCCACGAGGCAAAACCGAGCGTGACGTACCAGATCCTGGCAAATTTCAACCGCTACCTGGAGAAGCTCAACAGCGAATCCCCGGAGACACCAAGCTCGTTGCAAGGTCTCCGCGACCTCGGTATCCTGCTTCAGCTCACTGGCAAGATAGACCCGTGCAGCGCAGGATTCGTCCCTTACCGTGTCGCGTTTTACATCCTCGGGACTACAGATATCAATATGCAGAATGCTCTCGGCTTGACTGACGGCTTCCTGGAGTTTCGGCGAGAGCAAGACCCCACCTTTCCTCCTGATATGCAAATCTCGTGGACAACCAATACCAATATTGAGCCATCGTTCACCCTGCCCGTGAACGTCGTCCCCGGCATGTCCTTCGCGCCCTCCGAGGCTGGCCCCCCACAGGGGAATCAGATATGTCTTTTCTCGGCAGAGTTCACAGAATCATCCGTCCAAGGAGTGTTTGCAGGGCAAACATCAGGATTCCGCGATAACTTCGAGAAGCATGGAATTGTTGGTGCTCGCGCTGCACCGGACGAACCCTATGTTCGTATCGTTCCTATGACGGAACTCTCCACGGAGAAAGGGGTTCAGTTCTTTCTGCAAACTATTTTGCAGGATGTCTTGCACGAGAGTGTCGTCCTCGTGCGTGTGACCGTCGCACCCCCCCGGATTCCGTGGCGGCCGCCTTCTTGGATACACTCCGCGGCCTCCCAGAAATCGTACTTACACGCGGTGCCATCTGACACAACGCATCAACGGGCATCTTCTTTCCACCTGCTGCCCTAGGTGACTCGAACCGTGATTTGCGAGACATACGCGAAACTGACAACATAAATTAAAGCACTGTAGCTGCGCTGTGGCACAACCCGTAAAGCAGCACACCATGCGAATCGAGTGAGCAAACAAACTTCGACCGTCACGAGTGTGCAGTGGCACGAAAGGGTATGCAATTCATCCATCATGGGCTCGGGACTTCGGGAGTACACGAAAGCCCGCACGCTTTGCGGCTGAGGCAAAGTGCTAGCCCCACAATGCCAGCATCCTGCTGGCCACGCGATTGGAATTTGAACCCGAAGCTATTGTACAGGTGATCAATCCGCGTACCGGGCTTTGCTACCAAATGGATTTGCTTGCACACTTTGGGGATAAGACTCTTGGTCATGTCAATCACGTTCGGCGGCTGCTCCTTGAGTATGTCCTTCAGCCCCGGGAAATCGGTTGTCACAGGTATGCGTGCATCCCATGGGCCAACCATGCCGTCCAGCTCTGCAATCTGCAATGGTTGGGCAGCGTCATAAGCGACCTTCTCGCGCACATACCCCAGCTCTGCGGTAGATGACCGTGTTAAGTGGAGGAGTTCGGCTGAGGCATCCGCAATCGGGAGGTCCAAGACTGCATCGGGTTCCTCATCATCGTCGTCACCGAACAATGGGCCTGCATAGACTTGGTTGTGCGCGCTGGGTCCACTGGAGAATGCACCGGGCACTGAAGTAAAGATTTTCCGCGGAGGTGATGTGAAGGATGCCGGTGGTAGAGAGGTCGTTGGCACACCAATCGCGGCGAGCGCTGCAAGCCTGTCCGCCTCCGACATTGTTTGGAATTGCTTCGCGAAATCCCCGGGAGAAGTTTGCGGAGAGCGCTTGGCACCATGCAAAGGTGTTGCCTGATTGCGAACCGCATTGGTGAGCTCGCGGATGCTGTCCTGCAGCTTGGCCATCTCCGGCGGCATGTTGGGGGTCTGTGCAATGGCCTCCTCCACGTCATCGCGAGCCTTCCAACCGTCAAGCTGAAGCTGGCGAATGATACCACGCATCACCTGGTGGAGGGCAGATGGAGTGACAGGTTTCCCGTGACAGGTGGCATTACCATCCAAGTATTTGGTGAGCTCGGCAAGCAAGTCGAATGCGTCAGTATGTACGGGAAGCATGCGGTATAGAAGCTGGCCATTCTTGGTCATGGCTAATCTGTCAACCACATCAGAGTGCTCAACGACAGTGATTTGGCCAAATTTGTGAGTAGACCCCTCAGGCACGCAACCAGTCGTGAAACCATGGAAGTCGTGAGTGATCCCCTTGTCCTGTAAGTTTTTGCCGCCTGCTCTGGCAGCAGCATCTACTCCAGTCACTGTAGTCGTTGACATTGCATGGTTGGTGCCGTTGGCATTCGAGTGTACGAAATTGCAGGCATCCCCCCTCGAGCAACGACCAGTGTCGCGATACTGAAAACAAATGCGCGGTCCTGAGCTGGCAAAGGATCCTGGCTTGGGATTCCCGGGTGGTTGTGCAAAGGCCTGTGCTAATTGCCCGAGAGCCACCAAGGGGTGAGCTGCCATCGCCACGATCCTACAAGTCCTTGTGCCACACACTTCGAATAAACGGCTACGAAGCAGAACAAGAAAGCGGAGTCTCGCACTGTGCAGACGGTTCAGTGGAAATTATTATCGGTGAGAAAAGAAAAAGAAAATCGGCTCAGCATCAAACCACGTCAATCTGAAAGTCTGGGTCGGAGTCAGCTCGTAGAATGCAGCTCTGTAGATAGGCCCTGCACAACAGCAGAAAACTGTCCGAGCAGAGATCTCGAGTGCGTAGGCATTCCGGAAGATGTAGAAAAGGCATTCGTGTGTGCACATGCCAAACGAGTCGAGAAAGTACAGGAAGAGCATAGCCAGCAGACGACAATTCGACAAGCTGTAGAAAGAGGCAGCTTCGAAGAGCAGGCAGGGGACAGCTGGCAAAGTCAAGTATGCGAACTAAGTGTCCCATGAGGCCTTTGGCTTGGGTCCGTGTACTTCCGAACGATTGCTGAGCAATGAGCCTTGGGGCGTGGCTATCCGCTGAAGTCAACAGTGCATCCGAAAATGGGTACCATGGAATGGCGCAAACCTTCCCTGTTATGATAAGAACTCGTAGGCCGATATATGCATTGTCGTGGGTGTGCTTCAGCCGGCACGCAGCAGCGTAGAAGCTGTCATCGAGGAGTGCATCAAGAACATTTCGAGCAAGCGAGCACCTCCACAACAAGAGTCGATCATCCATCCATCTGGTGGCACACAGGTTCAAATACGCATTCTGCCGGAGATAGTGAGGCAGATTATACATGAAGCGGTGTTCTTTCACGCATGCGAACAAGTTGGCAACTGATCCGGAAACTGGGCTTCCCTGAGGAAAACCATCACTGAAGACATAGCCTAGACTTCCAAAAAGAAAGAAGGCATACTTCCAGTCTTGCGCAACAATGTAGGGCAGATCACAGATGACCAAAGTGTAGTACGTCTCACTTGGGAGCGGGCAGGTCGCAGTAGTGGGAGGTACCCCCTGCTTACGTTTCAATAATCTCCAGCTTGATGTTCCGGGTTCGTCGGAAAATAACCAAGTACGACTTTGTTTTGGCCGACGAGGGATGCATACGAAGTAATGCCCAGTGCGTCGTCTAAGCTCGCTAGTGGCCCAAGATAAATATTCTATATCATCTGCACGTGGTGCTCGCGTGAAGAAGTCTTGAATATCGTCAACGCGGATATGGACTCTGTCGGTAGACTCAGGGTCTGTGTCTTGGATTAAGCTCTTCAACTTGACGCAGAAAACCTCCGATGACAGAGTAGCAAACCCCGGTGCAACAGTCTGCTGCATAAAGTCGATAGCCTGACATGCGATGCGGAGCAAGCGTTTCAAATGATGTTGTTTGTATGATACCAACGGCCGAAACTTCATAGCAGACCATTCTGTGACTCTCGGGAATAGTACCTTGGCCTTCACATGAAGGCTGAGGCTTCCGAAGCGATGACGATGACCTTTTCGAAGGCGGCAGTAGGGTAGGCAATGTAGTGCGTTGGGCCAAACAAAGAAGTCACGCCGGAACTCAGCAACGGCAGCATCGGTGAGTTTAGTACTGCCAGTCGATGACATATACGTCTCTGCACACTGCCTATATTTCCATGGGCAAAGAATGGCGAGGTCCCCTTTGGCACGATCGACTGGCGAGAAAACAAAATCACGCAACTCATACCTGAAATCTTCGGCTTCAGAAACAGGGGGTGTGTCACTGTAGCGCTGCAGGATGATTTCGATGAGGTGCGCGTGCGTAGCATCCAGTTGAGCAGGGTGTCGAAGCTTAAGCTTTGTATTTAAAGCATTCCATTGTACCAAAAGCTGCTGGCAGACTGTAGCCGAAGTAGGTGCAAACCGCGACCGCGAGTTCCAAGTCGAAGGCCAACAATAACCCAGAACATCCATGGTTTCACGGAGCGTGCTGCATACGTGACCCTCTATCTTCGGCAAGTCTCGGAACTGCAGTAGGTGACATGGGCAAGCAGCTGGTTCGCGCGGTTGGGCAAGATGACGACGAGTGTTTTCATATAATTTCCCACATCATTGTGTGGGGTTCTTACTTTTTGGGGCTGTCCCGCCTCCTCCTCCTTCTCCGCCTCCGCCTCCTCCTCCTTCTCCTCCTCTTCCTCCGCCTCCTCCATCTCCTCATTCTTTTCCTTCGATGCAGACACAGACACACTCATATTAGATCTAGAGACACAGACACACATACACAGACACACACACACACACACACACAGACACACACACACACACAGACACACACATACACACACATGAACACACAAGACCCTTCCGGCCTGCTCTGGCCAAGGCCACGCGCGCGCTGGGGGCGAGACTCTTCCGCGACTAAAGACCCTCCCGGGCCTGCTCTGGCCGAGGCCGCGCGCGCGCTGGGGGCGAGACTCTTCCGCGACTAAAGTCTCTCCCGGGCCTGCTCTGGCCAAGGCCGCGCGCGCGCTGGGGGCGAGACTCTTCCGTCACTAAAGACCTTCCCGGACCTGTTCTGGGCAAGGCCGCGCGCGCGCTGGAAGCGAGACTCTTCCGCGACTAAAGATCCTCCCGGGCCTGCTCTGGCCAAGACCGCGCGCGCGCTGGGGGCGAGACTCTTTCGCGACTAAAGACCCTCCCGGGCCTGCTCTGGGCAAGGCCGCGCGCGCGCTGGGGGCCAGACTCTTCCGCGACTAAAGACCCTCCCGAGCCTGCTCTGGCCAAGGCCGCGCGCGCCCTGGGAGCGAGACTCTTCCGCGACTAAAGACCCTCCCGGGCCAAGATCGCGCGCGCTAGGGGTTAGACTCTTCCACGACTAAAGACCCTCCCGGGCCTGCTCTGGCCAAGGCCACGCGCGTCCTGGAGGCGAGACTCTTCCGCGACTAAAGACCCTCGTGGGCCTGCTCTGGGCAAGGCCGCGCGCGTCCTGGAGGCGAGACTCTTCCGCGACTAAAGACCCTCGTGGGCCTGCTCTGGCCAAGGCCGCGCGCGTCCTGGGGGCGAGACTCTTCCGCGACTAAAGACCTTCCCGGGCCTGTTCTGGCCAAGGCCGCGCGCGCGGCGGGGACGAGACTCTTCCGCGACTAAAGACCTTCCCGGGCCTGCTCTGGGCAAGGCCGCGCGCGCCCTGGGGGCGAGACTCTTCCGTGACTAAAGACCCTCCCGGGCCTGCTCTGGCCAAGGCCGCGCGCGCGCTGGGGACGAGATTCTTCCGCGACTAAAGACCCTCCTGGGCCTGCTCTGGCCAAGGCCGCGCGCGCCCTGGGGGCGAGACTCTTCCACGACTAAAGACCCTCCCGGGCCTGCTCTGGCCAAGGCCGCGCGCACCCTGGGGGCGAGACTCTTCCGCGACTAAAGACCTTCCCGGGCCTACTCTGGGCAAGGCCGCGCGCGCCCTGGGGGCGAGACTCTTCCGCGACTAAAGACCCTCCCGGGCCTGCTCTGGCCAAGGCCGCGCGCGCGCTGGGGGCGAGACTCTTTCGCGACTAAAGACCTTCCCGGGCCTGCTCTGGCCAAGGCCGCGCGCGCCCTGGGGGCGAGACTCTTCCGCGACTAAAGACCCTCCCGGGCCTGGTCTGGGCAAGGCCGCGCGCGCCCTGGGGGCGAGACTCTTCCGCGACTAAAGACCTTCCCGGGCCCATAGACACACACACACACACACACACATATACACAGACACACACACACACACACGCACACACACACACACACATATACACGCGTATACACGCGTATATACACGCATATACACGCATATAAACGCATATACACGCATAGTCGCATACACGCATACACGCATACAGGCGTGCACGCACAACGCACACGTATACATGCACACACACACATAGACATATACACAAGGAACTAATCGCGACATAAGTGCTTCGGAGCCTAGGACGACATGCCATCGCTATCGCAGAAGCAGCCTCAGCTCTGTCACACACACACACACACATATACATTCATACACACACAGACACATGCACAGACACACACACACACATGCAATCAATCCGCACCATCCGCTGTGGCGCTCAGAGCCTCAGCTCTGTCAAGCACACACAGACACACACATGCTTACATACAAGGACAGGGATGTGCAGGAAATAGAATGGCATGCACCAAACCCGGCCGAAAGCTTGGTGCCGTGACTTGCCGGTGCTATGTGCATGTGCGTGACTCTGTATGTGTGTGTGTGTATGTCTATGTGTGTGTGTACATGTGTGTGTGTGTGTGTGTCTGTGTGTGTGCGTATGTGTGTGTGGTTATGTGTGTGTGTGCGACTGTGCACAGGGATTGACTGCAGGTTCAGGCAGGGGTCGCGCGGAAGCCATGTGTGTGTTACGTATGTGTGTGTGTGTGTGTTTATGTGTATGTGTATGTGTGTGTGCGACTGTGCACAGGGATTGACTCCACGTTCAGGCATGGGTCGCGCGGAAGCCATGTGTGTGTGTGACCACAGGCAGGCAACGACACACAAACACCCACGCAACCCCACATACACACAAACACACACACACACACAAACACACACGCACACACACACACACTCCGGAAGTGCAGCGCAGAACGACGTGCCAGCGGCGGTCACTAGAACCGATCTCAGCTCTATCGCATCTATACATACATTCAATCACTCATCCATTTACTCCCATCTTCATTCACTCTTTTGCGTCTTTAGATTGTCTACCAATAGACAAGCTTCACATGCGGGGTTATCCGGTCCTTTAATTGTAGTAGGCTCGGGCTTGGTTGTGGTCGGAACGTCACAAATACGACGACAACATGCCAGCTAACAGAATACTCCAAAGTCAATGGACTTCGAATACTGCGAATAACGCATCGCCTGAAACTCGTGTCGAAATAAACAGGGGTACGGATACACTGCTTTACAACAGTGAAACACCCTTTGACCTTGGCGAAGTTGTGCAAGAATATACCTTTGCTCACCTGGTTCATTCAATGCATGGCGGTGCTCAGCATCTTCAAGCTTTCAGGTTGAGTCCAGTTACGCATCGAAGAGATCAGATTGTTATTGTAGCATCCCCGCCGTTGCCATAGGGGTCGACGGGCGATACTAACAATTGTTTTCACACGATCGCAATATGAACCAGCCCGGGCACGATCCCCCGGTAGTTGAAGCATGTCTGGCCGGAAAAGTCTAGAGGCATGGCTACGAGGAGCGTGCCGTAGCTGCATCACAGGTCGTTGGATCTGTCTTTTGGGGATAACCACGGCAGCGTGTGAATCTGGGCCATTTTGGAGTGCCTGACATAAGCCCTCGAGTATTCAGGGAAGACTGGAGTAACGAAATGGCCTGAGCCTCGATGAAAAGCCTGTCAGCATGGACTGGAGCCACAATCGAGAGATCACAGACTGGCATGAAAACGATACGAGACACGTGCATCTTGCGGAGTTGGTCATATAGCTTTCCAGAATCTCGCCCAGCGTTCAGGGCGTAGAGGTGGGTACGCATTCGAGCCCAGCCATTGGTGCTAGTTTGGCCAATGAAAACATGGTTACACCAGGGAGCAGCCCACATATATAACGTACCTGATGACCTGGGAAGCGGCGGCCCGCATTTCGAAGCAAAAGTTCGGCAGAAAGCATGTATACGTTGATCGTGATATGTGCGCGACGTCCTCAGGAAGTCGCGGAAGAGCTGACCCTTGATTTCCTCAATCCGTACAATGCTAGGCCAGATACCCCTTCATTTGAAGGCTGGCAACAAGTTATGGCTAGCGCGAGCTTGCATGATGTCACATGTGGTGGTCCACGCACGCGGATCCAGGCAGACTCTGCATCGACATGCGCTCCAGTTCGCACGACAGACTCGACATGAAGACCTGCGTTGCTGGATATGATGGACCCAGGCAGACAGCTGACACAACAGTTTCAAAGCCCTCCCAGACTCTCGATGCACAAAGCAAGCTCGACTGCAATTAGGATCACACTCGCTCGCAATACAATACCAGGCACAGAAAACGCTCCATTCAGACAAAACGGTTTCGGCAAGTTGAACAGCAGAGGCAACACTGGAGAGCTGCATAGTGTACTTCTTGCTCCAAATGTAAGCATCAGTATGTAGCGCTCCAGTGGTATTGGCACGCATATCTGAGCAAAGCGGTAGTTGTGAGCAGATCAAAACCAGCAACAAAGGCATCCCAAGCTTCTGCTGTCTCTTGCTGATGGTTGCACAATATATAGCCACAAACCACATCCACTGCATGCGACCCGACACTCCCCAGCTGATATCGCGTTCGACAAGCTGTACATTGCCACAGATCAGAATAAGTTCCACCAGGCAGTTTAACGCGACATAGGAAAAATTGAGGACTTACAACATGAGCATCACACCTGATACGAACTTGAGAGACCAACGCCATCGAGCCCATGGATCTGGTCCCTGAAGCATACTTACACGCGGTGCCATCTGACACAACGCATCAACGGGCATCTTCTTTCCCCCTGCTGCCCTAGGTGACTCGAACCGTGATTTGCGAGACATACGCGAAACTGACAACATAAATTAAAGCACTGTAGCTGCGCGCTGTGACACAACCCGTAAAGCAGCACACCATGCGAATCGAGTGAGCAAACAAACTTCGACCGTCACGAGTGTGCAGTGGCACGAAAGGGATCGTGCTGCAATCTGCGGCGTGATAGCGCCCATTGGAACTTCTCTTGTATGTTCTTCCGCACGAGAGCCTACGACGTCTGCAAAAAGATGCCGCGAAGCTGCTCACATTATCTTCTATTTAGCCGCGCACTTGCATCCTGATCTCTTGCACCAAGGCCTTCAATTCCACCGTCCGCGCTATTTGGCTGAGAGCTCGATTACGACATTTGCACGCATGATATTGCGGGAACTGTGTGATTCTGAACGATGGTTTGTACATGCTTGCAAGTTGGCGTTCAACGGTACGTCGATCCGCCTTGTGCAAGTCTTGTCAATGGCCCGGCTGTCAGCGTGCCGCTCGGCCTCGGGAGGATTATTGCCATCGTCATCTGATGCTGCATGATGGCGCCCCTGCAGCGCCCCGGTTGCAGCAGCAGCTGCGCGAACGAAGTCGTTCGCCTCCAGCCGCGGACCCACTCCCGGCAGATCTACCAGCTCCTGTTGCGCAAGCAGCACCGGCTGCAAAACCTGCTGCATTCATAAAATTGGAAGCCTTCAAGGATATGGATGTCGAAACTTCTATCTTGCAAGGAATGATCGACACTTGCCAATTTTGCGGATCATTGAACTTCCCAGAAGAACGAGCCGGCCGCCCTCCACGAGCCAGTATATGCTGCCATGGAGGAAAAGCTGCGAACTTGCAGCCTGTCCCTGACGCCCCGACACAACTCAAGCAACTTCTGCTGGGTCGTAGCAAGCAGGCCCGTAACTTTCGGGATGCTGTACGAAACTATAATGCTGCATTGTTCAGTATGGGAGCAAATGTCGAAATCATAACCGGTGCGCCTGCTCGGCCAGCGCCACCTGTATGCTTGGTGCATGGGGCAGTCTACCATCACAGCTACTGCTTGCAAGCTGAACAACCACATGAAGCAAAGTATGCGCAGCTATATTTGTTCGATGCGGAGGAAGCTCACCGTCTGCGAGCTTCACGTAACTACACGCTGGATGCCCAGCTCCTGCGCGATTTGGCTGCTATGCTCGAAGAGGAAGCCAATCCCTATATTGCTGCCTACCGCCGCATAAACGAAGTTGTACAGGACTGCAGGGCATGCCACATATTCAATCACTCATAACGTTCCTTCGCTTTTTTCCCTTGGCAGGACCTCCACCGACGAGCCGCTCGACGCACGCCAGCATGCACCACACACAGTTGCTGACATTATATTGCGTTGTTGCTGGTCCAAGTGCAGAAACAGATAAATGATCCTGAATCTGCTCAGGAGCCCGGTCTTCGCCTCGGCTTCGCTACAGCAACCGATGCGGACCTTCGTCGTTACAATCATCCGCAAGCAAGCGAAATTGCCGTGGCCTTCCGCTCAGAAGATGGCGCTTTGACAGACCCGCGAGACTTGGTGGTATGGCCGCGACGTCCAAACGAATCTATTTACCGGATCTCCGACCGCTCCGAGCACGTCGATCCTTTGACGTATGCCGTATGCATTGCTATTTCCACAAGGCACACCAGGATGGCACGATCATTTGCAACATGTTGTCGAGCACCGCACGCCCAAATACACGCGCCTTACGCCGGCACAATTTTATTCGCACCGGCTCATGGTGCGTGACCTCAATTGCGCACTTCCACACGGCGGCAGCCTCCTCTTTCAGCAGTATGTGGTCGACACTTTTTGTCGCATGGAAGGTCACCGCATGTCCTGGCTACGGATGAATCAGGCTAAGCTCCGTGCCGAATCTCGCAGCGGTATCGCGGACTACTTAGCGCAGGATGATGACGGCATTGATCGATGTGGGCGCCCCATCATACTGCCTGCATCCCATGCCGGCAGTCCGCGTAATATGTTCCAACTCTACCCCGACGCACTGGCTGTTGTGCGTCGCTGCGGCCGGCCCGACTACTTTGTTATATTTACAGCCAATCCGACATTGCCAGAGGTCGTGCAACATTTGCTTCCTGGACAGTGGGCTTGCGATCGACCGGACCTTATTGCACGCATATTCCGCATCAAACTCAAACAATTGCTCCATGATCTCGAGGTGCACGGCATTTTCGGCCAATGCGTGGCTTGCAACTAGGTAGTGGAATTCCAGAAGCGCGGCCTGCCACATGCCCACATCTTACTTCTCGTGGCACCGCAGCATACGCCACGAACACCCGACGATATTGACTCCCGGGTTGTTGCCGAGCTCCCTTCCGACCCCGCTGCTGCCTATCTGGCTGCAATTGTGTATCGCTGCATGTTGCATGGACCCTGTTTCTCGGATGCATTTATCTTGCCGGAACAAGGTTGCATTCTTTAATACGGTTCTTCTGCAACATCCGAGGCGGACAACGCAACCCAGCTGCGCCCTGCATGAACGATACAGCGTGCTGCAAAGCGCACTATCCCAAAGAATTCCGTGACTTCAAGTGCATGCAGCCCGACAAATATCCTTTATATCGGCGTCGAGATACAGGGATCACTGTATATAAGAATGGACACGTCGTGGACAACCGTGATGTCGTGCCCTACTCACCCTTCCTGACCAAGAAATACGATGCGCACATCAATGTCGAGGTGGTCATTGGAATTCGCGCCTTGCCGTGCCAGCTTATTTTCCTTGCCGGCTCGGTTACAATCGATGTCTCTTTGCATGCTCGTCTGAGGTCTGGTCAAGTATATGTACAAATAATTATGCTTTCAAGGGTCATGATCGAGCAGATTTCGTGGTCGGCAACGCTGCAGCTCCCAGCGACGAGATCACGTGCCATATTGACGCGCGATATGTCAGTGCTGCTGAAGCGGCATGGCGCATTTTCGAATTTCCGCTGAGTGGCTCCACGCACACCGTCGTGCGCCGGAGTGTCCACCTGCCGAACGAGAACATGGTTACCTTCGCTGAAGGGCAAGAAGAAGCTGCTTTGCAAGCGCCCGCAGGATCCAAGACTACCTTGACGGCATGGTTTGACCTCAACACTCAGATCCGCCACGAGAATCCACAGTCAGAGATCCTCGCGCAAACATATATCGACATCCCCCGCTATTGCACATGGAACAATGCTGCACGTTACTGGAAGCTATGCAAAGCCACTGCTGCCCCTGCGCAGCGTGTGGTTGGCCGCCTGGCGCAGGTTTCACCGACAGAAGGCGACAGGTTCTTTTTGTACTTGCTGCTGCTCAAAACACCCGGTGCACAGTCCTTCGAAGATCTGCGATTTGCCGAAGGACAACAATTTTTCACATTTCAAGCTGCTGCCACAGCTCGCGGACTTTGCGACTCCGATTCTCATTATTTGCAGGCGCTGGATGAAGTCCTTGCCACGTCTCCTGCCGCTCGCGCACGCAAGTTCTTGGTTGCAGTTCTGACATGTTGCGATATTGGCGACCCGCGTGCTCTTTGGACGGCCTTCGAGGACCGATTCTGCGAAGATTTCCTGCATCGGCTTCCAAAAGCATTGGCACTTGATGCGACCTTGCAACATGTGCAATCCCTTCTGCAGACTTGCGGCAAGACCACCTCAGATTTCGGCCTGCCACTGCCGGCTGGATTCGATGCCGAAGCTTTCCGTCTATGTGAATTGCGCGAAGAGTTGTCCTATGACGCTGCTTTCGAGCATGCCGAAGCCTGCCGACTGATCAGCTCCTTGAACGCAGATCAGCGGCGCATCTTCGACGAGGTCGCGGCTGCGATACGCTCGCAGACTGGGAGGTTGTTCTTTGTGGATGGTCCCGGCGGCACCGGTAAGTCCTATCTGTTTGAAGCAATATTCCATTTTATGAGAGGTCGTGGCGAGATTGCAGTGGCGTGCGCATGGTCCGGCCTCGCTACCTCTTTGCTTCCTGGAGGACGCACATGCCATGCTCGTTTTGGTTTCCCGGTGCCGCTTCCAAAAGACGCTGTACCGTGGAGCGTCACCGCTCGTAGCGGCAAAGGTACTGTTTTGCTATGGGACGAAGTGGGTACAGCGGCTGCAAATGCTGTGGACGCAGCAGATGCATGCTTGCAAGATTTGTGCGATAATAGTGCACCGTTTGCTGGCAAAGTCGTCCTCCTCGGCGGTGATTTGCATCAAATAATTCCAAGGGCCGAGTTCGCCGATCGTGCTGAAGTGGTTGGGACTGCTGTTACCCGAAGCAAGGTTTGGAGCTACCCGCACATGCAGCGCTTTTCCCTGACGACGAATATGCGCGCAGCCGAGGATACGGCTTACAAGGATTTCTTGCTGCGCGTTGGCTCCGGTACGGAGCCTTTCGATCTGGATTGCGGCATAAATGCAATCTGCTTGCCGCCGAAATTGATCTTGCCCCCTACCGCAACCGTTGATGCCCTCTTGC